TGGTGCTATACTGCACCCTGACTCATCCCTTTTTTGTGACCCTTCTGTGAGGGGATGTCCTATGGTCTACAGATGCGCTTTGGATCTCCACTCTGACCCACCTCATTCACATTAATATGATTGTTTGTTTTGGGTCTTCTGATACCTGATTCTGTCGATGACACCTCACGATCATACAGGCGGGTGTGCTTCTTCCATGTGGGCTTTGTTGCTTCCCTGCTTGTTTGACTTCAAGCCTTTAAGTCCCCAGATGCTATATCTTTTGATAGCCGGACACCATCAGCTTTCTTCACATTTGCTTATACACCTATTTTGTCATCAGTGATCATGTCAGGAAGGTGAGCATCACAGAATGCTGGGTTATTAGAACAAAGTGTTCTTGCATTGAGGGAGTATTTGAGTAGAGGCCCAATATCCGTCTGCTACCTTAATACATGTACATAGACCTATATCCCTATTGTTATATATATTTACCTATATACGTGCCTGTATATTACACCTCTATAAGTGTCTTTTGCTTCCTAGTTCTTTCCTCTGTTTCTTTTCACTTTCCTCCTGTCCCACTGTCATGTTTGACCTTCATTCAGCTCTCAGTCATCCCTCTCTGCTACATTGAGCTTGATCAGATCCCACCAGGCATTCTATGCTCTTCTCACCATCTCTTGATGTTTAAATTTTAGATCACTTGCTGATCCCTTGTCCCTTATTGTGTTGATTTCCACCCCCTATCCTTTCCCCCACCTCCCTTTCTCCCATGGCCCCCCAGAACCGTCAGTCCTGTGGTTTTCTCCTCCGGATTGTTTGTCCTATCTTATACAGGTAGACATGGAGGTGGGGGTGGGGAGCCTATAAATAGTTTCAGGTCTCTCTGCTGAATGCCTTCCCTGAGTCTGAGAAGTCTATTTTGGGGATTCCTCGGGGATATCGTTCCTTTGCTCCCCTTGCTGCTCTGTTGCACTCCCTTTGTGTTTCAGCCCCGTGTGGTGGGGTCAGATTGGGCACACTTCCCACAGTGTGTCTCCAGGGCTGTCCCCCATAGCACTATGGGTTGTGTGTGTGTGTGGCGGGTGGGGGGGGGCCTGGCCCTACGGTCCTCTCTGCATTGGCTGCTCCGAGCAGGAATATTGTCCTCAGGGCTTAGTGGGCCAGGATGCGGTTCTCTCTCTCTCTCTCTCTCTCTCTCTCTCTCTCTCTCTCTCTCTCTCTCTCTCTCTCTCTCTCTCTCTCTTTCTCTCTCTCTCTCCTTCCCTGTTAGTTTGCTCCTGTGTGGTCTGGGCAGACCCGCCCCTCTCCCAGGGTTTTATCTTCAGTGCTGTCCTCTGTAGGGCATTGTTCTGGGGAGGGAGTCAGTGTAGCCGGATGGGGGCCAGCCCACAGACCTCTCCGATAGTTCGCTGCTGCCTGCGGTATGCTGCTTGGCGCACCAGCTTGAGGCCTGGTCCCTCTCCCTCTTTCCTGTGGAGATGTGAACAGTGCCCTTTCTTCTGAGCGCCAAGAGGGTTTTGAGCATGGCTGTGGCACTTTGGATTTTACTAAATCACTCTGGTTTTAATAAAAGGGACAAACAGCAAACGAGAGACGAGGCAGAGAAAGAGAGAGAGAACAAAATGAGTGTCAAAAGACTCTTAAATGTGGTCGAATGTAGAGTAGCTAAAGCTAAGGGGGGAATCATGAAGTACAGGTTGGCTGAAGAAGACAGAGTCGTAAGATGGACTGTGCAGCGGCCTGGAGCTGGCAGCGAGGGAAGAACGTGCTCAGCCTTGTTCAAGCTGAAAAAGCGAAGCCTTGAGGTGCAATGTTAAAGATTCTGTAGGTAAAAGGCTGAAAGCTGCAAGAAGCATCAAAAGAAGATGGAAGGAATACAAAGAGTCACTGTCTCAAAAGGAAGTGCTTGGCATCCGCCCATGTCAAGAGGTAGCATGAGAGCAGGAGCCAGTGGGCTGGAGGAAGAAGTCTGAGCTGCACTGCTGACTGGTGGAAAACCAAGCTCGGAATTGCCGGGGTAGCAGCTGAGATTTTTCAAAAAACAAATGTATAAAGCTGGAAGCATTCGCTCCTCTAGGCTAAGAAAGTTGGAAGAAATTATTGAACAATATCACTAATAGTACATGGAAGTAAAATTTTGATGAAGATAATTTTTTAAATGGTTGCAGCTGCTGCACACAAATTGGAAACTATCAGAGGTTCAAGCCAGACTTAAAGAGGCCATGGAATGAGTGATATCATTATTAATGTCAGATGGACCTTCGCAAGAAGCAGGGGACACCAGGGAGATGTTTACCTGTGTTTTATTGCCTGTGGTGGCTTTAGAATGTGTAGATCATTGCAGACTGGGAAAAATGGGAATTCCAGTGTACTTCATTGTGCCCTGGTGGTGCAGTGGTTACATGTTGCGCTGCTAACCCCCAAAACAGCAGTTCAAAACCACCAGCCACTCCCTGGGAGCAAGATGAGGCTTTCTACTCCTTGTAAAGGGCTCCAGTCTTGGAACCCCACAGAGACAGTTCTCCCGCCCTCTGGGGTCACTGTGAGTCGGAATCACCTTGACGGCAGTGCGTTTGTCGTATTTGTGTGTTTGTTTTTATTATGCTCACGTGGAACCTGTACCTAGACCAAGATGAAGTCCTTGGACAGGAGAAGGGGACACTGTAGCTTTAAGTCAGGAAAGAAGATCCTCGGGGTTGTATCCCTTCTCCATGCTTGTCCGACCTGTATGTGGCACAGATGATCCAAGAAGCTGAACTAAGAATACAGAGTCAGGATGGGAGGAAGACCCCTAAACAGCCTGCAGTGTGCAGAGGACACAGCACTGTTTACTGAACGTGAAGAGGGCTTGAAGCTCTTAGTGGTGAAGAGCAATAAGTAGACTTCAGTACACATTATCCCTCCTCGTAAGCACACAACAACAAATCCTCACCCCCGGACCAAGAAACGAAGAGAAGAGTGAAGCTGTCAAGGACTTGGATCCATAATCAACAGCCATTGAAGCAGCAATCAAGAAAGCAAACTGCATATTACATTGCACAGATATGCTGCAAAACACCCCTTTAATGATGTAGAATTGTTTTGATATATCTAAGCTTGATCTGTGTATCTATCCATCCAAGTTTTTTCGTTGTTTTAATTATTTGGGGAAAGCATTTTCTTTAATCCTATATTAAATTTAAAAGATTTCATTTAAATCATTTTTCGTTCTCAGGGACAGAATTTGGCCACTTAATACATATGACTAGGAAAGTAATGAACAGTGAAATAAGTTTCCTGAGTCAACACATTCGCATTAGGATGAAAGTCACTTCACAACTTCTCCCTAATCTTTACAGGAATGTAGCCTATCTAGGGCCCAGAAATCCAAAGTATTTTAAAACAGCTTTTTACTTTCCTCTTCCTTTTTGCATTAACTGTTGTATTATATCTTTGCATATTAGATCAAAGAAATCAACTGGTCGGATGTTGGAGGTTGGACTGGCCAAGGAGGATCAATTCTTGGGACAAAACGGTAATTGCTAAACTTTGATTCTCGGAACTAATGATATTGAGGAAGCAGAAGAGGCTGTGTGGCGTTGGTGAATCACTGACTGTAAGTTCTGATTCTTTTAATCTCCTGGAACTAAATTCCTCCAGGACACAGTACTGTCCCCATTTTAGGAAGAATCCGGGTCATGTTTTAAGGAGGTGAAGTTGAGACATTCCATTAAAAGTGACACTCCCTTGGTATCTGCCCTTGCTTCAAGAAGGATCCAGGCAACGCTTTAGGGAGCCCAGGCCGAGGCTCACTGTGGAAAGGCAGATGAATGGCGAGCACAGAGATAGGGCAGGATAGTGTGTGAAATATTTTTTTCCCCAACAAACCCTGATTTTAATTTATTTGAAAAGCACTATGTGAGGATAAAAATGATCTCATTCTAGATCTCTCGGTGCTATCACCAAACGGAGTCCTTCTACTGTTTACAAAGAGTTACAACATGGTCCATATTTGGTTAGTATTGGTAGGAACCACAGAAGTAAGAGGTTCCCGAATAAAATGTATTTTTCTGGTAACCTTTTCCAGCATTTTTATACGGTCCCATATTTAAATTAAGTTGAACTTGAGTCTCCTAAGATATTTTATTATCTTATGAATAAAAGTATTAGCATCAGTCATTATTATAACATGAAAGGAAAA